CAATTATTCAGTGACTCACTCCAAGGCTGAAGTTTAGAAGTTAGGCTCCAGGTAAGCCGAGAGGAGAAACTCTCTCCCCAGAAACCACAGGGGTCAGAAAGGGGATCTGGGGGCTCTGACATCAAGTCGGGTTGCACACAGCGACAACGACAGCGCTTGTCAGAGTTCCTGTCCTGCCTCTCGGTGTGTGTTGCGTTCAACCCCTCTACTGACCCCAGAGGCCTTCTCTACAGGCCCTTACCCAACACACTCTTCCTCTCCCTGCTCACCAATCTACTTGCCCCGAGGAAGCTGGACCTTTATTTTTAGAACTTCTAGAACAGGGAAGTGCTAAGGGCACAGAAAGAAGGAAGGGATAGGCCATTTGGGCCTTAAAAGTTTCCTTCCTGCTCTCCCTAACACCTCCTTAGCGGGTCCTTGCACACACACACACACACACACACACACACACTGCACCACAAAATCACCCCTTCCATCCTTCCCCACGCAGCAGGTCTACGGCAGTGTCTGAGCTGGACCGAAGTTCACACAGTGCGATGGAAAAAAACGAGCACAGCACGAGTAATGAGTTAGAGAGAACACACCCTGAGGTCACCCTGCAGCTCCAGCTCTCCTGTCCTTTTAGCTCCGTCAAGCACTTAACAAGCACCACGTCATTAATCACGGTCCCCTCAGAGGGCGCCAGCAAGGCCCTGGGGGTGGGGGAGGCTGAGTGACACTTGTAAGGCCACTGCATGGCACAGAGGGTGCAGGCTGGGACCTGGCCCTGCTGGCCTCTGGCCTCTCTGCAGGCTCCCACGGAGCAGCCCATGGCCCTTCTTGTGACCATGGAAGCCAGAGCTGTCGGCCCTGCAAACGTCCCTCTCCGAAGGGCCATGTGAGAGATATTCACTCCTCCTTCTCAAGGCATGATGCCCAGGCTCTCCAGAACCCAGATCTCCGCTGTTCTTCCCCACCTTGGAGTTTCAACATGCTTTTCCCCCTCAGGCGTAGGGCTTGAGAAAGACGCTTCTCCCAAAACAAGCTTTGACACCTGCTCTTTTTCTTCTCAACTCCCCAAAATAAAGTTCAAAACCTGCTCTCTGAAACTCGGTTCTTAGAGACCTGAATCTGGTTATTAAGGAGAAGGCTGACCACATCAGCCTTTCTTGGCTAAAGTAGGGAGGAAAGCAAGCCTGGGAGGGACTCCAAGCAGCTCAGGGGACCTCTGTGGGCCCTGTGTGCAGAGCAAGCCCGGCTGACCTCTTGCCAGGCCTACTCTGTCACCTCTCCATCAAGAGGCAGCACTGGAAATGACAACAATCCTAGCTGTGGTCAGCTAAACAGTGACTCCCCAAAAGCCAGTCACGCCCTAACCCCAGGACCTGGGCACACCACCTTGTGTGGCTAAAAGGAATGCACTTTGCAGATATGAGCAAGTTAGGGATCTTGAGATGAGAGATCACCCAGGAGCACTCGAAGCACCATCACAGATGCCCTTATAAGAGGCAGAGGGAAATTGACACACTGACCACGAAGGCAGAGACCGGAACCATGTGGCCACAGGCCAAGGAATGCCAGCAGCCAGCCACCTGAACCTGGAAGAGGCAAAGAACAGACTCTTCCCAAGAGCATCCACAGGGACCACGGCCCTACTCCAAACTTGATTCCAGCAGCAGTACTGACCCCATGCAGCACTGATCCCAGGGATACTGAGTCCCAGCAGTACTGACCCCAGGAGTACTGACTCCAGCAGTATTGATTTCCTCAGTAAGCACACACACAGCACTGACCCCAGCAGTACTGATTCCCAGCAACACTGATCCCAGGAATGCTGATCCCAGCAGTGCTGATCCCAGCAGTACTGACCCCAGCAGTACTGACCCCAGGAGTACTGATCCCAGGAGTATGATCCCAGGAGCACTGACCCCAGCAGTACTGATTCCCAGCAACACTGATCCCAGGAATGCTGATCCCAGCAGTGCTGATCCCAGCAGTACTGACCCCAGGAGTACTGATCCCAGCAGTACTGATCCCAGCAGTATGATTTCAGGAGTACTGACCCCAGAAGTACTGATTCCCAGCAGTACTAATCTATCAGTACTGATCCCAGTAGTACTGATCCAGCAGTATTAATCCCAGCCATACTGACCCAGCAGTACTGATCCCAGCAGCACTTATCCAGCACTATTGATCCAGCAGTACTGATCCAGTGTGGAAAGCAGCCAATTTAAAAACATGTGATTAAAACATGTGGCCTGTAGACACATGTAGAAATGTGCTTTTGTAAGCTATTCTAGCAGGGCTATTAAAAAACATTTATATATGAAAACAGTATTTGCCTATTGTCAATGGTTGTCTTCCTGTTGTTGTTGATACCCAATACCCGGATACTGCCCAGTATCAGGCTAAAGGAAGTCACATGCATTTATTAAATTGTCCCCCCAAAAAATAAGAAAAAATATGTGGCGCCAGTCATTTTCACATCTTCAGATGATTTACATCTAAAAACAACTGGCTTTGCATTCTAATTTCTCCTCCCTTATTCTCTGCATTCCACTTCCTTCTTCCCTTTTCCTATTCTAACTTGCGTGTCTTTGTGTGTTTGTTATTGCGTCCATTTCTAATCCTCAGCCTTCCCCACTCAAAACAAGTATTCATGCAGAGCTAGTCCCAGCAATCCAGCAGTACTGACCCTAGCAGTACCGATCCAGCAGTACTGATCTCATCAGTACTAACCCCAGCAGTACTAATCCCATCAGTACTGATCAAGCAGTGCTGATCCAGCAGTACTGATCTCAGTGGTAGCGATTCAACAGTACTGATCCAGCACTACTAATCTAGCAGTACTGACCCCAGCAGTACTGATCCAGCAGTACTATTCCCATCAGTACTGATCCAGTAGTACTGATTCCCAACAGTACTAATCCAGCAGTAATGATCCAGCAGTACTGATTCCCAGAAGTACTAATCCCAGCAGTACTGATCCAGCACTACTAATCTAGCAGTACTGACCCCCTCAGTACTGATCCAACAGTAATTCCCAGCAGTACTGATTTTGGGCCTCTGGCCTGTAGTACTGTAAGAGAATCAGCTTCCATTGTCTGAAGCATTCGGCTGACAGTCATCTGTTAGAATAACCCCAGAAAACTACCAGTGGGAGCTAACACGTAGTGGCTACCATGGGGTGCCAGACAATGGCCCACACACTCGCCAACAGTAAGCCTCTTACATCCTGGCCCTGGATGTGAAGATGGGGCTGTGCAAATGCAATGCCCGATTTTGAATCCTGGCTACCCCGCGTCCTGTTGGCACCTTGAACAAGTTGCATAACCTCTCTAAACCTCGTTCTCCAGATCCATAAAATGGGTATATAGTATTGGGTTCTAAGAAAAGTCATGATGCATTTTTGCACAGAAAATCAGAAAAAAAAATATGCCATGACTTTTCCAAGAGCCCCATATGCCCTCAATAGGTTGCTAGAAGGATAAAATAGATAACCCCGCTCAAGAGCACAGAACAGTTTAGAGTAAGGGCTCAGGGGAGCAAGCCAGAACTAATCCTGGTCTGTGACAAGCGAGGCCTCCTGGAGCCTGCACCAGAAGGAAGACGGCCTCTCAGAGCTGGGTTGAAGAGTACTATGGTGCGTGGAGGAGTTTAGGAAAGTGTTTCTTTCCTAATTGAGCAAGTGAGGTCCTCCCTGCTGCTCTCATTGCAGACCAGGCTGCTGCCCAGGACTGCTCTTTCGGCCTTAACCCTGCTGCCTTCCCTCCGTGTTTAAGGAGGTCTCGCACACACCAGACACACCCTTGCAGAGCTCACACCTCTCCCTGTCATTCTGGCCGCAGACCTGGAGCCCTAGGTCTTAGGACTCAGCCTGAGGGAGGCACCACCACAGGTCCATTTTGAGGCATTCCAGGGCCACTCCAACCTGACCCAGCAGTCTGGGGGACAATTTCAAGGGTCCACTTTGGTCAAGAGCCAAGTTAGTAGAGGACAATTAAGGTCTGCCCAGAGGAAGGGGAAAGGAGACCGAGAGTTATCACTAGATAAAACCAAGCCAGGGAGAAAAGAACTTTCATTCCCTTGCCCACGAAGATAAAGTTTTCCAACTCTCCTGTCCAGGTGATGTCATTCAAAGATGCAAAGCAGCAGCCCGGCAGCAGGATCGCGGGCCTGCTGTCCCCAGCGTAGGAAACCTGCCAGAGGAGGAGGGCCTGGCCACCGGACTCGGCTTCCTCTCGGGCAGGCTTCCAGCCCCTCAGACTTGTGTCCAGTGGCTTAAGAGGACGCCTGCTGCTCCAGCCCTGTGCAGGCAACCAGGCCTCTTCGCAGCAGGCGGCAGAGATGGTCACCTGCCCTCTCCCACCGCCCCTTACCCCCCAGAAGGATGAAGGAGGGCAGCTCCCCCTCCTGACTCTCAGGCATCTACAGACTTCTGCGGTGCCGTCACCACTAGCAGGAACCGGGTCCCCTGGAGGAATCGCTTCTCCTCATCCCACCCTCTATCAATGAACACGCAGCACACCCACGCTCCTGCTCCTCCCACTCCGGAGTGCGACCGGGCCGAGTGACATCCGGAGCTGGAAGCCGCTGCAGCTGGGGCGCCGACCTCCCAGTCCGGCCTTTCCCAACCACCAGATGACCTTAAGCCAGCCCAGCGTTCCAGATGGAGAAGGTGCCCGAATCTTCCGTGGGCCCTGCCTCTTATGGGGCTCCGCGCTGGAGACCTCGAGGCGCGCACTAGAGAACCGCTTAGGTCCCAGCTCCGGGACTCGAACCCCGTGACATAGTCCCCCGCCTTTAGGCGCCCCGAGGCGACCCCAGTCCAGCGCTCCCGCGCCG